GCGGGCCCGGTCCGGTCCGGTTCAGGCCCGGCCCACCGAGCAGCATTATGCAGTAGTCATATTCCACGCATTTCAAAAGGAATAGTGGGATTTTAAGTTGAGAAAATACATAAATTGCAGGAATTGCCAATATACCATATGACGATATCACATCAATGAAGTTGAATGGTACATTTGCTTAACTCTAACTTAAAATTATGTTTGTGTTTTATCGCTTAATCTTACCTGTATATAAATTTCTTATAATAGTGACATAATAAATAGTACTCTACTAGTTTATGAATAATGGGCATCGCCAATAGATTTTCTTTAAAATAGATCGATTATTGTATTTCATCATATTGGTCATTCTTTTTAAAAGAAAGTAAAAAATTGGTGGAACTAACTATTCGAATATGCATACAAGCAATAATGTTTCGGCAATAGTAATCCAAATAATTACAGAAAAAACAAACAGAATTTATAGCTGTTTGGCCATGCAAAAATTAGCGCTTTTTCTCAATATTGCTTTCCTCGGAAATACTTTTGGTAAGAACCAGTTTGTATTTGACTAATTAATTTAAAAAATACTTTTGAGCAGCAATTAGTGTTTGACCAAACTTTTAAAAATAATTTCTAAGTGTATTTATCTCAAAAGTGCATTTCAAAAAAATATTTTTTAATAAAAAATATTTTTTTTTATTTTAAAAACCTGCTTCTGTTTCTTCTCAATAGTATTTTTTTTTCTTGCTTGGCTCCAACTTTGAAAAAAGAATACTTATTTTGGAAAAAAAAAACTAAGACCAAACAGGTTATTAGACTTCTACGCCATAGACTTCAAAGTTATGGAGCATTTCCAGCAATAATCATTTCCATACAATTTAAAGCATTTGCAATAGACATAATAGCAACAATAACAATGACATAATCATGTTTTTTTTCTTCTTATTATCTAACTAAAAAGTTTAATTAAGAGAGGGGAATATTACAATCTCAGTTCCCGTTGGAGATAAAATCTCTGATATTTTGAAGAAAATCATTATTGGGAGGCCTGTCTTCTTTCCTCTCATATTTCTCCCCCATTTCTATAGTGAACTCCTCAAACCCTGATTCTCCGCATCTCTTCCACATTCCTTCCCCAAAGCTCCGGTGCCCGAAGTACGCCTCCGCCGCCACTGTCTCACCGTCGTCTCCGGCGACTGTCAACGGCAGCCTCTCGTAATGGCCTCTCTCGATCCCTTCCAGATCGTCCAGCGGCCCAAGCCCACTGCCTTTCACCTTGTAGAGCTCGCCCCTGACCCGGTTACCCGACCCGGGGATGTTGATCAGGTATGGGATTCCGTAGGGCCCGCAGACGAGCGGGAAGGTCTCCACTGTCGTGTACTCACCGACGAAAACGACGTCGCCGGCGCCGATCAGATTTTCCATCAGGAAATGGTTGGGGAATCCGCGCTTTAGGGTTCCATACGTGAAGATTAACCGCGAATCGGTTTTGGTGGGGCCCTCTGCGATTGCCATTAACGTTGGAGTAACTGATTGTTTTCAGAAAAGTGAAAAGAGTAATGAATTTGATAAATTCACACGAGAAAGGGTCCTTACTCACGTGCGACAGTTGGGCCCGGAATCTGTTCTCATGACCCGGGATCATTGGATCTGTGAGTCAGCAATGACGATGCAACTCTGATTTTCTTTCCTAAATTATCTTGTGGCGTTTTATAAAGAAAATCTTTTTTTAGAGAATTATTTTGCAAAGAAAGTATTTTTTGCTCCCAAAAAATGCTATTGAAAAATTAAAGGTTTAAAAAAACACTCTAAAATGTCTGATCTTAGTTTTATGGTGTAATTGATCTTAGATAACACTTTATTTGGATTATTGTTACCAATCATTATGTATTATATTGTACTTTATTGTATTGTATTATATGGATACAAAATTTAGATAGATTGTATTGTTTGATGGTGTTAAATAATATTTTTGTTATTTAGTGTGACTGTATCGTATTGTACTGTAATTTATAAGTTTACTAACAACTTGTTTGGATGGTTGTTACCCATTGTATCGTATTGTATTGTTATCCTAAAACAATATTTGTTTTGATTGTTTTATTAAAATTGGTTGTATTGTATTGTTAAATCCGTTGTTCCGGAACAATAAAAAGTCTCATTTTTTGAAACAACTGATTTGTGTGTGGTGGGATTATTTTCTATTTTTTTTTTAATTATGCCCTAACTTATTACTCCATAATTCTATTTTACCCTTTACTTTCTTTTTATTTTAACTCCAAATCGCCAACCTATAACCTATTTTGTCTTCGTCCCTTTTTTTCCACAACTTCTGCCGCTTTCAACTCCAACGTAAAGGGTATAGGTTTTGTCTTCTTTATGTTTCATTTTTTCTCCTAATGTGATTTTAACTCCAATTCTAATTACTTTAACTCCAATTCTTTGCTCCTTTGTTCTGCCAATTCTCGTTCCTTTCTTTATCATAGTTCTTTATTTTTTTCTAATGATAGTTAACTTTTTTCTTCAGGTTTTTGCTATTGTTTTTAAGTTACAGGTACTTCTATTTACCCGTAAAACAGTACAGTTAAATTTATACGTGGTTTCTAGACAAGTGAATTAATTTGATCATGAAATAATAAAGTAATTGATGAATTATGCAATACTTAGCCTTGATATGGAGACGAAATAACAGAAACATCAGTTCCGGGAACAGGGTTTCCGGGCACAACTGCAATGGAATCAAAAAGTAAGAAGATAAGATTGTATTAAACTTTAAATAGAATGTAGCATAAGTTTGTTAGAAAATTCATGTCTCTTACAATGATAACTGAGCTCATTATTTATAGCTATGTCTAGGGAAGAAGGTCCTACGATCGTGCCCCTCTTTTAATGTCAATTATGAGGGTTATTGATGAAGATATAACGATGAATAAAAATATCAAATTCCCTGTAACGGGTAATCGTCCTTAATGCCATAGAATATTCTCTATTAAATGCTATCGGGCGAAGAGTATTTATCATATCTTTATAAGCGTTATTCTTTCCGGTGACAAACAGAACAGCTGCCTTCGGCCATACCCTTGTCTTGGGTTCCACGTGTCCTCTTTTGGGTGGCCACGTGTCATAGCATATTTTACCCTATACAGATAGTCCCCCTGCTTTCCGGTGACATAACTTTGTGTTACCAAGAAGTTGGTAGAAATACTCTTTTGGCGGAAATTACTATAACTCTCTCTGAAGGCTTCTGACGATTGATTAGACGCATGTCTCTCCGCATTTAATGTCCCGAACACGTGTCATTCCACGATTCAGCACAACTTCTGCCGTTTATCGAGGTAATCATGGCCATGAATTTATCCGCAAAAACTTTTACTTATACGCATCAACCTTCTCTCCTATACTTCCATAATTTTACAAGCTTCCCTTATTTGACTTGCATCCTGCCTTCATCTAATTCTCTTCAAGTAAAAACCTTTTCCTTCTTCCATACAATGGCTTTTTCCTCAAAGCGTACCAGTTTTTCAAAGAACAAGAACAAGGCTGAGGATTCTTCTCCTCCAACAGTGGGCTCCATCATCCTTAGAAGTCTTGTTACTACAAAAGACTTCGAAGAGAAATTTAAATTTCCTATTACTAACTCTCGCACATGGGCCGTCAGTAGGTATCCTTCTTTCATCCGTCCTTCTAGTATTCCTGCTGTGTAGGAAGACTATCGCTGTCATGATTTTGATATTGTTGCTCCTGATCTATCGGAGCAAGTGACCCTACCCAAGGAGAGTTTTATATTTTTTTTTTACGTATCCCTTTACTTTGGGTGCGTTCTCTTTGAGTGGAGAGCTTGACTCTGTTATTGGGGAGTTTTGCCTCTGCTACTAGGTGTGTTTGGCACAACTAAGTCCTTCTATGTGGAGGACGGTTGCTTGCCTTCGGCGTTTGTGCCAGGAGACAGGAGAAGAGCTAATCTTAGCTCATATAATGAATCTCTATTCTCCCAAGATCTTTCGTGGGGGAATGATAAACCTCTACAAGCGTGGCCACCATACTCTGTTATCTAGCATGAATGACGATAACGACCGTGGATGGATGGAATGGTTCGTTGTAGTTGCCACCATATCATTCTGGCAACGGCTTCATCCTTTCCGGCCGCTTGGAACCGCACTCGTAAGCTTTTTGTTTAATATTTCTTTTATTAAATACTCTTCTATACCAGTATTGATCCACCATCCTTCGTCTATTTTAGCAACTCGATGGATCCCACCGATGGTTGAAGGTTAGGACCGGTGGGTCCAGAAGATCTTGGATGTTATGATGCGTGAAACTCGCTTATGGAAAGAACTGGCCCCTAAATACGGGTAGAAGGCCAAAAATCATGGTAATTCAAACTCACCGTGTTTCAATTTTTCATGTGAAGAACTTGATTGATCCCTTCTACCTTGTATATGAAATCAGGTCTACCCGCGAGCTCTGTTACTATCTCCGAGGAGGACATCTTGGTTGATCCTGCTGATGCGGCAAAACTAGTTCAGGAAGCGTTTACTCGAACAAGTATCTCCGGGCCTGCTTCGGGTACAAGTGTATCATTATGGAGTCCCCATCCGGAGGACAAACAGCCAAAAAGAAGACGCTCCTCCACGGTCGGGGAAAAGAATAAGAGGGTGAAAACTGCTGCCCCCGAGTCATCTCAGGAAGTGATGATGACTGGCCCTCCTTCGGGGCCGGTCGTAGACACCCGCACTCGTAAGCTTTTTGTTTAATATTTCTTTTATTAAATACTCTTCTATACCAGTATTGATCCACCATCCTTCGTCTATTTTAGCAACTCGATGGATCCCACCGATGGTTGAAGGTTAGGACCGGTGGGTCCAGAAGATCTTGGATGTTATGATGCGTGAAACTCGCTTATGGAAAGAACTGGCCCCTAAATACGGGTAGAAGGCCAAAAATCATGGTAATTCAAACTCACCGTGTTTCAATTTTTCATGTGAAGAACTTGATTGATCCCTTCTACCTTGTATATGAAATCAGGTCTACCCGCGAGCTCTGTTACTATCTCCGAGGAGGACATCTTGGTTGATCCTGCTGATGCGGCAAAACTAGTTCAGGAAGCGTTTACTCGAACAAGTATCTCCGGGCCTGCTTCGGGTACAAGTGTATCATTATGGAGTCCCCATCCGGAGGACAAACAGCCAAAAAGAAGACGCTCCTCCACGGTCGGGGAAAAGAATAAGAGGGTGAAAACTGCTGCCCCCGAGTCATCTCAGGAAGTGATGATGACTGGCCCTCCTTCGGGGCCGGTCGTAGACACCGTAATGATCGACGATGATGAAGAAGCTAGTGATGAGGGAGCTTCTCTACATAGAAGATGACAATCTTCATCATCTCAACAAGATACTCGACCTGTTGAGATAATTACACTAACCACAGACGATGTTTCGATACTTTGGGGAGAGTTTGATTTGGTAGATAATGCCAACTTTTGTCTTCGGGCCCCAGTTGTTGTGCCCGGTGCTGCAGGACTGAGTACCGGGTCGCTACCGTCTTTGGTTGTCGAGAATCCAACAACCAGCACTGTATTTGATGTAGCTGCTTCTCACTCTTCAATTCCATCAGCTTTATCTCCCTCTTCGCCAACACCAACAACAACTACATCATTTTCATCTGCATCTATTCTTCCACCAGCAGCTGCCACATCACCTCCACCGGCCACACTTGATCATAAAGGAAGTGTTATTCTTCCCCAGTCCCCAGTTTATGGGATTTTGGGGCAAAATTACGCTGCCCCCTCTGGAGATCCGCAAAGGAGGAGGAATGTAACTCTTTCGGTCTCCACTGGATAAAACTTTCTATCCCGGCCGGTGGCGCTTGCTAATTAACTGAAGCCTTTGGCTTCAAAGAAGGATTGGGAAAAGGTTTTGGCTCTCTCGGGAGAGTACTTGTTGAACAACGCCATGCATAACGCCGCAACGGTATATTCTTTACTTCTTTTGTTGTTTCTACTATTTTGCATAAATACATCCTGAGTTTGTTTTTCTCATTTTATAGGCCAACTTCCTTGCTTCCGAGGGCCTTCAAAGGTTGATTAGGGAAAATGAGGAACTTACCTCCGAGCGGGGTCAACTTTTCATTTAATGAGACCAAGCCGTTATTCGCCTCTCATAATTGGAAACTAAGGCTACCGAGGCTGTTGTGTTGGAGACTCGTTTGCAGCAAAGTGAGCAGGAAGTGGAGACCTTTGCCAATAGATTGCCTCGTTGAGGGTCCAATTTGAATAGGTTAGGGCCAAATGGGCTGAAGTCCATAATGCCATTCTTGCTGCATCTGATCGTGAGGTTGCCTCTGCTGAAAGATTGAACAACTTAGAGGCAGCCTTGAATTCTAAGGCTGAAGAGCTTGCTGCTACAGGGGTGAAATATGCCCAACTGGAAGAGAAGCACAAGAGGACTGTTGAGCATAATTATATTTTCAGCTCTATTGTCTACGAGATCGATGTTAGCCTCAAGTCTATTAGATGCACCCAGGAAAACCTTTCTGCTGAGGTCACCCAACTCAAAGAATAACTCAAGTGCCAAATGGCTTCCCTCGTTGTTGAGAAACCTTACTCTATGTACAACATGAGGAGGAAACCCTTGGAAGAGGCCAAAGCTAGTGTCATTGATTTTGATGCCGAAATTGCTAAGGCCCGTGAACTTGAGTTAGCTGCTAAAAGTGGTCTCCCAGTAAGTCTGATGCTCCTGGTCCTTCTGGTTCTGGTTCCGAGTTTTTGGGAACTGAAGAAGAATCAGAGGATGATAATGCTGAAGGCCAAACTGGTGAAGACCAAAATATTGAGCCATTGGTGGATCCATCTACTTC